TCAGCACCCAAGGGACGATCAGGCCAACCCACTTGCGTACCAGGAACTTCGTCTAACTTGGAAACAATCTCGCAAGCTTTCCAGCCCAACAACTTCCAGCCCCAGTACAGCCATGACAGCAGTCGCGGAACGGGGTCCGGAACTGCACAAGCGCCCAGCAGTCGATGTTTGGCAACCAGTACAGCCTCTGGTGCCGCCACCGCACGACCGGCAGTTCTGGTCCCTCCACCAGCCCACACCCATCAGCCAGCCTCCCTCACTTCTGGTGCTCATGGAACCACCTTTTCCGGGCTCTCGACATCTTTCACAAGTTCCACTTCCAGGTGTCATTACCCACCACCAGTCTACACCAGCGCCCATGCCACCACACTCCCAGCCAACACGACAGGATTTCAAGGACCCCCGGGCCAAATTCCAGCAACCATTGGGCCTATGCCATCGGGCCAACTCCCCCAATCCAGCTCAAACCTGCCCCGCCCATCCACTTCCGGTGAGTGCTCGTTCCATTGCTCACATGGCGGGGGTGCCCTGCCTCAAAGCATTACCCATACTCCCTCCAGCTCCCTTGACCAAGTCCCCTCATGCATTATTCCCACCAGCTTGGAAGGGGGGGAAGGGGCCCTGATATCCCTTTGCGAACCGCTGGGGAGCGCGGTTGCCATAGGTACAAGGGATAAGATCATAAAAAGTGAATTTATAGAGCTAGACACCTTGCTTACTCGCCGTGGCCCTGCCAACCTGACGCCCAATCTGACTTTCACGTTGGATAAATCCGGCCAATTGTGCCTCAAAGACACAAAAAAGAAAACCCAAATCACATCCATCCTATCGTGGACCGACGCGTTCCTAATTTTTGCGTCTGTGTTTTTGTCAGCTCACCCTGGGCGCTCCCAGGAGCTGTTAAAATATATGCACGTCATCCGCATGGCGGCTGCCCGCTTTCCCAATCGCGACTGTGGATGGAATACGACCGGCAATTCAGAATGAGGCAGCAAATCCACCCGATCAGAACCTGGTCTGTCATTGACGGGGAACTGTGGGCCCTGTATGTTAACTGCCCCGGGGTTCGTACACTCGGGCTTGGGGGGTCAAGGGGTCAAGGGGGGTCCCCATCATCTGGGCCAAAACGCCTTGCTAGCTCCTTTCGATCCCCCCCCCCCCCCCCCCCCGCCAACCCAGTAGGAATGCAAATTACTGCTACCCATTCAATCGGGCCACTGGCTGCTCCAGGGCCCAATGCGCATATCCCCATAAGGGCCTCACATGTAACTCCGTCAGTCACGGTGCCTGCAAACCTACCGCAAACAAAAACACTACCAACCGCCCGTAAAGGTTGTCCCTCCTCCCCCCTCTGCAATTCAATCACAAACTGCATATGCTGCATTGCACACTCGCCCATTATTTTAGAGCAACTTTTACCTTGGCTTGACACCTACCCAAATGCTAAGGCGGCTTCACTGCTCAAGTTGGGCTACAGTGGCCCCCGCACAGCCAGGGAGGCTGACAATCTGCCGTCTGTTAAGAAAAACCCAAGTCTAGCCTTAAGTAAACTGGAAAAAGAAGTCAAACTAGGGCGCATGGCAGGCCCATTCCAGGAGACCCCCATTAAAAACCTTCGAATCTCACCCATTGGGCTAATTCCCAAAGCAGAACCAGGTAGTTACAGGTTGATTCACCATCTCTCCTACCCTGAATCAGACTCGGTAAATGATGGGATTGACAGACAACTTTGTTCAGTTCAGTACTCCAACTTCGACGATGCAGTTAGTGATAAGGTCTGGAAAAGGGGCCCTTATGGCAAAAGCAGACATCAAATCAGCGTTTCGTCTTTTACCAATCCACCCAGATGATTTCTGTTTGCTGGGCATTAGAATCAAGGACAACGTCTTCATTGACAAGACGTTGCCAATGGGGGTGGCATGTGCCCCAGCCTATTTCGAGAAATTCTCAACATTCCTAGAGTGGGTTGTAGACAAACGGGCGGGGTCAGGTCATGTATGTCACTATGTGGATGACTTCCTCATGGTGGGGGGACCGGCTATGGGTGATCCCCCATCCTGTCACACCATTCTGAATTCCTTTTTCACAACATGTAGGGAATTTGGGGTTCCTCTTGCGGACGAAAAAACGGTCCACCCTACCACACAGTTGACATTCCTGGGCTTACAGATAGATTCAGTCTCGCAAACAGTAACAAGTCCGGCAGATAAACTCGGTTCCATTGACGCGAAACTTAAGGACGCACTCCTCACATCCAAGCTAACCCTCACATCCCTTCAGTCACTCATCGGGTCACTATCCTTTGTGTGTCGTGCAGTTCCTCCTGGGCGTACCTTCCTCAGGAGGCTCATACTCATAGATGCCACGAAAGGAGTAAAACAACAATGACACAAAATCAGACTCCCCCAAGGTGCGAAGGAGGACCTGCAAATGTGGCAGGTTTTTCTTCACAACTTTAACGGCAAAACAATGATCCCAGATCAATATTGGTTACTAGATGAAGACCTCCAGCTTTTTACCGATGGCAGTGGGGGGACGGGCTTTGGGGGATACTTTCAAGGCAGGTGGTTCAATGGGACATGGCCCCCCCCCCCCCTTATCCGCGACAACATGCCATCCATTGCCTGGCTAGAATTCTTTCCTGTAGTAGTTGCTCTCACCCTGTGGGGTAAGGCCCTTTCCGGTAAACGAATCCTAATATGGTCTGACAATACGGCAGTGGTGTCCATCATTAATAAGCAATCATCCAAATGCTGCGAAATCATAAAATTAGTCAGATTTTTCGTTTTACAGTGCCTCCGCGACAACATTAATTTCAGAGCACGTCACATTCCCAGCATTCACAATAATATTGCCGACGCGCTCTCCCGTTTGCAGATGCACAGATTCCGACAATTGGCCCCCTCAGCTACCCCTCGGGGGTTGGAAGTCCCAGAGTTCCTATGGAGGCTTTAAACTTGGAAGCACTACGCCTCTTGGGGGCATCCTTTGCTAGCAGCACCTGGGAGGTATACGGGAAGGGTGCAGAGCAGTTCAACCAATTCCGGCTCCAAACCAAGCTCCCCCCAATGTGGCCCGCTCCTAGTAGCCATGTAGCTGCATTCATTGCACACCTATCCTTGGAAGGATTAGCCCCCTCCACAATCGGTACGTATACCGCGGCGGTTGCTTACATACACAAAATCAATGGCTGGCCCGACCCCACCGATTCATTTCTGATAAAAAAGATTAGGGAAGGTTGCCGTCGGCAGGGCCCTCACTCTGATCCCAGACGCCCCATCACAGCAGATTTGCTCGGGCAAATATGCCACATTTTACAAGCGATTACATCATCAGACTTCGAGACCAATCTGTTCCGTGCAGCATATACCTTGGCCTTTTTTGGGTCCCTTCCGTCCAAGCCCAACTGCGCCGTGCATCAGTTCCTAACATGATCATTATTCACCTAGGCACTAATGATTTATTCTCAGTACCACTTAAAGAGATACGTGGGAGGGTGGTGGAGGGTCTCCGTGGCCTACGGCATCTGCTCCCCCATACCATTATCTGGTCAGATATCCTTCGGCGCCTTTTCTACTACGGAGAAGAGCGTCCAGGAGTTGGGCAGAGGACCGTAAACGCTCTCAACAAGTACGCACATCGGTGTTGCAAACACTTGGGCAATGCACATGCAATCGTTCACTCGAGTACCATCAACCCGAGTAACCATCGCATCTACTGGCGGGACGGCTTACATCTGTCCCAACTAGGCAATGAACTGTTCTGTCACAACTTGACGTTTTTCAAGAGCAACCCCGAGGAACTCCTCCACCACCCCACCGCTTAACCAGTAGTCACCACCATCCCGCAAGTTGGCTAACAAAAGATGGGGGGGGTAGGGAACTTGCTTACTTTGGAGAGAAGTTTAGGGGAGAAAAGGGGGGGGGATTGGGCAAGTTCCTCATGTCGGAACTTGTTTGGCATAATTTGTGTCTGGTGGTTTGTCCCAAACCCCCAGTCTTGACGAATTTCTTCCCCTGTGGTCCCCCCGTGCAGGGGGGGATGGGGTTTGGCACAGGAGAGAGGCGTGGCCTGCATGAAAAAGGGGGGTATCATATTTGGGGGCGGTGAATATGGACTTCGGCTATCTCCACTTACTCGACTTTTAATTCACCACATAATTCTAATTAATGATTGTAGCTGTTGATTCCAATCTCTGTTTTAAAAAATTCTGATTGGCATTTATTAATCATAGCTGATTATTGACGTACATGTTCTTGCAAATTACTGTTAACTTGTTAGACGTTGTTGGCATTTCTTGCCCGTTGTATAAACACGTATAAACAACTCTTGTTTACTGCCGTGTTTATGCTTAATTAGTATAACACCGTGTTTGATGCAAATGCACATCTGTTGGAAATAACTTTAGAATAACTTGATTCGATCTTAATGGGGCCCCAATTCACATTGGAACTTTAACAATGAATCTTGTATGGTTACTACATGTATGCCAGGTGGCTATTGTGCATTAAACGCTCGGCGTGGAAGGACCGAAGCATACCCAAAAATCTTTGTCTGGTTCCTCTCAACCTCTCTAGGGCCAAACAAAGGCTGTTTCAACAAGTTGCACAAAAAGCCAAAAATTCTTAATGAAAACAAAGGTTGTTTTGGCTAGTTATCGAAACATACACTTCAGTAGCAAATAGCTTCTGAGAGGTGCAGAAACATACACCTCAGTAGCGGGGATCCAAAAGTGGGGGGGGGGTAGTATGCTAATAATGACTGCTTCAAGTGGCTTGGTTAAACTAGCCAAACATTCTTTTTTTCTTGAAGCATAGTAACTAACCAAGAGCCTAGTTTTACTTCACCGCAAGTTAAAGCAGTCAATCTTCTTTAAAGAGACAACTGATGAATTTAACCTAAATCCAATTTAACTATTTCTATTTTAATATAAAATAAGTTGAAAATGTACTTGCACCTTTCGAAACTAACCCTTCTTGTAATGTTTGAAGCCAACTTACCTTCAGATAGTACTGGCTTTTGCCAGTGCTCTTCTCTTCCAAAGTGCTGGCAGGCAATACACCAATCCATTGAAAACACTTGAGTAGCATACTGATGGCCATTAGAGCACCCTCTACACACTGCCATGTGCTACCTTGATTCAGGCAGATCTTGGGAAGAAATGACAATGCATACATGCATTAATAGATAACCCTGCAGCAGTGTAGCATAGTAAATGGGATTTTCAAGTTAAACAAATTCATATTAAAAAAGGCCCAAATTTCAGTTCAGTTCAGATCACTTATTTCCAGAGTGTTCACAAACAAATACATGTATTTCAGAGTATTATAATACTGTTTAACAGAGAAGTGAAAAAGTACTGGGGCTCAAAAGAAGCACAGCTTGTAAACATGGACCCCTAAATATGTGTGCTTTGACAAAAAGGGAATATACAAACATGTAGCAATTATTAAACACCAAGTGATAACAATAAGCTCAAAGTAAATTGAGAAAAAGTTGCATGCCAAACACCAAATACATTAAACAATACGAACAAGGACAGACAAGGGACAAGACATCGACCAGTATGGGAATTTTGTAAAATATATTTAACTAATTACATAAATCAACCATTCAATAAGATAGTTTGTAGAGATTTGTAAATTTTCTTAATGAATCACTAAGAGAGGTCCATAGCTTTGGTCCCTCATTATCTGATGTTATATAACCGACATACAGATCCTTGTCATTTGATTGGTGGAACTCACATCACTTGACATTCGTTATTACTCCCATTCATGCCGGGGCTCAAAAAGTCCCATTCGCCCATGAGGAATGGGAAATACTTTTGAACAGTTAGGATCGATGGCTGTTCCATGACGCGGTATTTGTGTGCAAATACATGCTGGTGTGCGCGTTCAGCGTTGCGCGTAGCGCGTATTGTTCCAAAGAGCAAGCGCTACAGAGTTGGGTTCAAACATTTTTCACGAAGGGGTTGTTTGGAAGAGAAAAACATTTTCCACCAATTTTGTATTGAAATAAAAAAAAGAGAACGTATATCAAATGACAAGGATTTATATATGTCAGTTATATCAAACAAATATTGAGTGGCTTTAAATTGTGAAATGGGAGGAATATTATCGCTCTGTAAAATCTGGACTTTTCCAGTTCACGAGGCGAAACAAATCCAGATTTTACCTAGCGATAATATTCCTCCCATTTTACTCTGAGCCACTCAATATTTGTATAAGTTTTAACAAATTTAATGCACAGCTTCAAAATCAAGGACATTTATTATCACCAACTTGGGTCCCACCTTTGTCAATCTAACTCCAATGTGTTGCCTTTTTCTATTAATTCAATTTTCATTCAGAATTTTGATGTACATCCTCATTTTACCCGGCGAGCTCTTCATTTCTATCTCCCATTAACTCGTACTTCTTTTGCCATGAGTGTGTACATCAAAATTCCGAATGAAAATTTAATTTATAATAGAAGAAGGCAACACATTGGAGTTAGATTGATACAGGAGGGACCAAAGTTTGTGATAAAAATATCCTTGATTTTCAAGATCTAATGTTTAGAAAATATGGGATCAGTTTCTGCATTAACTTCAGTAAAATTGATTATATAAAGAACATGTTTCTGTTAACTGAGCCACATCTATTACTATTTGTGTGCAGTTTCCCCCAACAAGTATTCCACAGTTTTGATATGACACCACCAAAGTTTTACACACACAAAATAAAATTTTGTCAAAAATGTGAGAAACAAAAGTTTTGATTAATGACACCAATGTTTCTACTAATAATTTTACATAAATAGTCAATATGATTTCTCCAAATCTGAAGTTAATTACTAATATCCAAGAAACTTAAGCTCATAATTGACCATTTCAATCAGGGTATTAACGTTTCTATGGAAGACAAGTAAATTTGAATCTTATGCAAACAGAACAAATGAAAGCAAATCAGACGATTAACTCTCCTATGGAAACATGCATTCTGAGCCATGCTGTCACTTGGGTCAATATTGGTCAAGTGACCCATTGGTTGGTTAAAAGTATGCCAGGGGAAGTGGAAGGAAACTCTGACCATCTGTGACCTTTAAAACAGCAGGAGGGTAAATCAAGAACAGTAACAGAACTAAAATTGACCCCTGAGGCACACCACAACCTAAGTTTCTAAATGTTGAATTAATAGACCCACCATCATGGGCGTCACGAAGAGGGGCAAGGTCAATATTTTAAATTCAGTTAGAAAATTAGTTAATAACACTATGAGTATACACACATTTTTTCAAATATTTTAAACAACAGGTCAATACAGAGATACAGAGAAACAATTACATGCAGAAATCATCACTTTTATAAAGTGGTATCATACTTTGGCAATTTTTAATTGACTAGGCACAATACATGTTACAAAAGAACTATTGATAACATGTGCCAGTGGTTTACATATGGCAGAGATGGAATTCTTAATAACAGAAATGCTAATAGACTCATAACCAGTACTTAAGATATTGATTTTGTTTGATACCTCATTCTCATCAACTGGAGTATGGGGCTCTGGATTTTTTATCCATGTAATTTTATCTCTGTTTTTTAAATGTACCTGTATCTAATTATTTTTATTGTGGGGCACCCTCCTCTTGTGAAATTTAGAACTTGAAACTTGTTATACGTACATGTACATGAATATATACATATTTTGTTTACATTTTTTTTAACGTTTAATGACTGGATGTCGTTTTAAAATTGTCCTATGTCAATGTTTTTTTGTCTACTTATGTATATATGTGAGTATATTTTTTAATGTTTGTATTTTACCTGTTGTCTGGAGATCCCTTAAAATAGTGATTTGTTTCGCTTTTGGGAAATCCTCGGGTCTGTTTGTTTTTAAAGTTTATATCTTGTTTGCCCGATAAGAAATAAGTTTTAAAAAAAAGTAGTAGGCCTAACTGATGGTTTTCATTTTTTTTACCTCATTTTTCCCCCAACAAAATTAGGGTAGGGGCTGTCAAAATAGGGTACATGTAGTTGGGTAACCGGAAGCAGATACTATTATTTTTTTTGGCCTTATCCCCTGTCACAGTTGCAGAGTCATGGTAGACATCAACATGTCTTTCAAACTACTGTCTCTACTAACTGATACGATACAGCTGATGTTTCTAACAAATTTCCAGCTCATACAATGTACCAGTTAGAATAGAAAGACAAAAACATGTTCATGATTTGGTTCTTTCATACTTCAAACATTTCAATTCTTAACTTTAGTGAAAAAAAAAAATTAAAATGTTGATAAAACACCTGATGTTAAGAAACCAGGAATCGAAATTAGCGGCAAACCGCTAGCCAAATGCTAGTCAAACCAGTGGCACGCTAGTCTAACTATTCCTTAAGTAGCCCGGCTGGCGAGTCAAAATATTGTTGGGATACTGCAAAGATGAACGGACAGGAAGAAATAAACCATTAAATTCAGAAAGAAAACCTCATCAGGTTTGTGTTCAACTGTTTTAAAAGGTTAAATTATTAGATCTGTTTATTAAAAACACTGACAAAATTGCCTCAGAATTTAGCCTCAAAATATGCCATTTTGTATTTGAGCTAAAAAAACAAATGTGGGCTAATGAAAATGCCTGCGGGCTAGTTAAGAGTCTGTTTAAGTAGCCCAGCTGGCAAGTGAACAAAAGAGTTAAGGTTGAACCCTGAGAACCTACCTTAGCAAGCTCAGAGAACAGACTTTCCATTTCTTGTAGTGTTATATTACTTGCAATACGTCCAAGGCGTGTCACACAGGTGTTCCGAACAGCAGACCATACATCACATACTCCAAACAACACTAAGGTTTGAACATCAACAAAGTGTTTGTGGAAGCTTGGGTGAGTTGCATGCAACTGTAGCCACTCCATTATATGGATCATAGTCTGGTTGCGGACAACTGGCATATCACAGGCTGTCATGTCAAAAACAAAACAAAAATTAAATATATATGTAAATTCTTGTTTTAAAATAATACAGACCGTTAGCAAGCATGCAACTGTGTGGTAAGTAAGGAGAGGGGATTCAAGGCTTTTACAAGACTTTACATGTATATGGTGTTTTTGTCATTTTGAATGGCATTAGTGTGAAAAACAAGGAAATCAGCTGATCTGCGAGAGTGTCAAACCCCCCCCCCCCCCCCATTAGTCAGTCTTGTCGGCAAAATCATGGTGCTGTCGGCAAAATAGAAAATGAAGAATGGAAAAGGAAATGGAAAGGAAGAAGGAAAAAGAAATAAATGGACAATGTAAATAATTATGCTGCTGTTCAAAACCCTGCAAAGCTAAAATCCAGTTCTGCAACCCATGGTAAAAGATTGTTCATTCTGTCATGTCGGCATGAGCTGCCGCGTGAGGTCGCTGCATATACAGCGGTTGACAGCTACAGCTGTGCAAAACACAAGCACGTGCTCGCTCGCAGGCAGTTACAAATTAAGCTGATTCTTTATAGTGACGACTCAAACTCATGGATCAAGCTAATGAGGGCAAAACTCGAAAGAAAGTCAAACTACAATTTTGATGTAATGAACCTCCCCCATCTCCCTCAACACGAGCACATTTCATTCAAAAAGTCAGAGGAAAGTGGCCAGGAAATACTCAGATTGCACTACAGAGCATCTGGAATCCAACAATTTCCCGCGGACCACACGCCTTCAGGGCTTTGCGCTCTGTGCTCACATAAAAAAAGTTTGACTTTAAGATTTAAAGACAATTCCACATCATCATTAATTATGAATACAATCTGTTGTAAGTAGAACCTGTTGTTCATAACACAAATAGAATGCTTGTAGGGCCTGAATCTCTGGGATAAGGCATTTGTTCCTATTCACCGCTGTTCCACAGGCTCAGTGCACAACATTAGGTTTATGTGCATGCGCTAGTTTTATAGGGCTGTATCGTAAAATGCATAATTCATGAGCTCAGCAATTAATAAAAAAGATTGGCTACAACATTCTTACAAACTGCTCTTATACACTAAATATTTGATAATATGCAGTAAGATTCACCCGAAAGGAATTGGAAAATAAATCATTTTCACATCTTCTTTGGCAAAATTCAATGTAATATCGGCAGTTGCATGAAATTCTACAAAATCCAAGGCCTCCAATTTGTTGAGCGAGAGGCACCACTACCGTCCAAGATAAATATCATTTTTCCCATAAGATGTAAGTTTACCTTATATTAAGACTGTCTTGAAAACATCATTTAGATTTTAAATTTTCAATTGACGGTGTTTTTGAAAGAGCAAAGCCATAAACTCGCCTCAAAATGGGGGGGATTCCTTGGTGGATTCACTGAACGCAGACTGTGATTTTCACAAAAAAGGCTGCACTGCACTTTTTACCATCTTAATAGGATGGGAAAACAAGAAAAAACATAGTTGGTCCCAAGGTTATCTGCATTTGTGGTAACCGAGGCATATTGCTTTGCGGACACCCCCAAAATTATACAGAGAGTAAACTGGCATATATATAGGGGACAAAATTGAAAAATAGGCGGGAAAAAAATTGGAAAATAGACTGAACAAAAATACGTGTTCGAAATCTTGGCCACGCTGCAGTTACACATACATGTACACACATACATGTACAGTCGAGTCTCGTTAATACAAACACATTCGGACCTAGCCAAATTGTTTGTTATATCAGAATTTTGTATTAAGAGGAACATCAGTCCCATTCATTGTGCACATAAATGCACAGTCGGGACCAAGGCTTTATGTTTGTTATAACCAGAATTTTGTATTAACAGAGTTTGTACTAACGAGAGTCGACTGTATGTACAATAACTTCATGCCCAATTTCCGGACACTGCCTCTTATAAATTTTACGAAGAGAAAAATGTGTTTTCATAAAATTAAAAACCCTAAATTACGGTTAGAATAACAGACTTGACAATGTTTACTTCTTACTTGAGAAAGTCGGGGGAAAAGTTCAAAAGACAAGGGCACTAGTGCTCTATGATTCATCATGGATGTCCACGATTCAACCAACTTCCACCAACATACAACGTACGTGGGAAAAATTGGCATGATCGTATTTTTCTTTAAACAAATGCCAGTGAAATGTATCATTAATGCTCTCTTGGCCATCCTCAAGATAATCATTGTGATTTTTAAAGCATTACATTTGTACAACTAAATCTTAAACAACATTTCTAATTCAAGTTATCATCTGGAAACTGACCTGCCCGGCCGTCTGCCACGGACAGACAGATGCCGTAGGCAATAACAATAGACATTTATCATGCTACCGGTACCACCATTTCAGTCATGTTTCCTGTATCCAATAACAGTACTGAATGATAATGTTAAAAAGGAACCAGACTATTTTTCCTTCCAGCCTCGGTCTGCTTACGTTAATTTGAATGGAAAAAATCCAAATGGCTGCAACATGATAATGGTCCATACCCCACCAGCCTCTTAGCTGAGGGGTAACAAGTGCCGAGTCATATTATTTTTCTGCACATTTTTGATGTGCTTGGATGTACTAAAGGCATAAATAATTCCTTCATCAATTACTCATTGAAAAGAAATCCTTAGGAATGTCTCCAAGCTATTGTTAGGCTATACCTGTTCTGTAGAGTATGAAGTTGGAAATTCAAGTTCTCACTCCCCAAAAATGATGTCCTGGCAATGTTAACTACCACAGCAGGAAAGGGTTTAACAAAAACTTTGCCCCACTAAAAAAAAAAGGTCTACGGACTGAATGTATCCCCTTTATTTGCGGTCAATCACGCTCCCCTAAAAACTGAGCTGCCCGGGCGCCCGGGGTCGGCCACGGACGCCGTAGGTGATGACAATACCCCTCCAGCCTCTTGTCTGAGGAGTAAAAGTGCTGAGTCAATGAACTCAAATGACCCTAGATGACCTTTGTCCTCTAATTTCAGAAGATTTTTTGATGGACCCCCACCTAAGAATCACTCCATCCAAGTGTTATCAAAATCCATGAAGACATGGAAAAGTTTACATGTTGAGCCTGTTTGCACACTGACCCCTACATGACCTTTGACCTCAGTAATCCAATGAAGAATTGCGTCTTCCCACCCAAGGGGTCACTGCATCCAAGTTTTGTCAAAATCCATGAAAGCAAGTAGAAGTTATACATTTTTTCAAAACTTTAACATACTTACAGACATACATGTATGGGTATAAAGAATTTAGGACTAGTAGATTTACATGTGTATGTAAGTGTCTCCAAAACTTTGCAAAAGTCTGCACTTTTTAAATAATAATAATAAAAAATACCAGAGTCTCATATAACGCACGCACCTACCAACATTCAGGTACTCAAGGCGCTGGTAAATATACATGTATCTGTTGCTGACATTCAGTTAAAAAAATCATTCATTACATGTACTACATGTACTAGGTCATTTTTGTCAATTTTAACACGAATATGTGCATGCAGACATGCACAAAAAATGCAGCGATGATGATTTCTTGTGAATATGGGGGGGGGGAGGGGACAAGCAGGTTAACAGCAGGCGGGGTGTGGGGAGCTTGATTGACAATCAAAGATGCAGGTATGTGCACATTTTTGTATAATATGTTTAATTTCCATAAACTTAAGCAATATGCCACGAGAACACCACTTAGCAAAAAAATACAGTGCACATTTTGGTACATTTGGTTCAAAAAATATATGCACCATGTGCACTGGGATAATGGTTTTGTGGGGGGGGGGGCAGAGAGAAGGGAACAATACCCCCCTCCCCCCGGATCATGTCCATGGAAAATGTTTTTCTTTTACACCTACCGGTAATTCATTCATTAATTTACACAATTATTACAGTACAGCCAAGGCATATTGGCCATACCACAATGTAGAGTGATGTGCTAAACCATGTTCCTTAGCATTGCATCAACTGAAAAATGTGCGAGAAAATTGTATTTTCTAAACAAGGATAATGTTCAAAATTTAAAAAAAAAAAAAAAAAGTTCACGAAAATTTAAAAAGAAACTGCTTGAGGTTGCAGAAATCATTTTGGAATGACCAAAACACTTTCATGACTCAAATAAAAGACGGGCCCATCACTACACAGCCTTCGAATTCAGGCATGTGGACGAAACTCAGATTGATTCCGGCGGAGTACCAACCACTCACTCACTCCGTGGCATTGCTCTCAGTGGAGTATACCGTCCTCACGAGCTTTTTCCACTTGTGACAACTGATTGTTAAAGGGGCTGCTTGGATTTTGTAGAGGTTCACCCTTTCCAGGTCTCTGTCCGGTGTGTCCTCCCGATCCCATGTAGTTAGTTATCATCCTGGTCGCCGTCTTCTTTGTGTTGGGGTCCAGCCTAACAGTCTTCTGGGAATGCGAAACCACTCCATCCTAAAAGGTCCCCACCATGTTAGCTGCTTTTTCGCTAGCAATGTTGTGAGACTGCTGGTTGTTTGGTTCTTTCCCTGACCTCTATTTTTGTGATGCTGTCCTCCCACATGATGCCATGAATGCGTCGCAGACATCTCTGGTCAAAAGAGTCCAGTCTTCTCTCTTGACCAATTGTAAAAGGCCAGGTCATAGCACCATATAAAAGTGTGGATATCACACAAAAGTTGTAGAAGCATGTCTTCTGCTGAAGGGAGCTATTCTTCTGTTTCCAGAAAGATCTTCGATCTCCTTGCGGGATCCAGTGTAAACGCAGTGTGTGGCCCAAGAGGTGGAAGCTAATTAGACTTGATGGATCAGACTTCATGCTAACAGATCAGTGTGGGATGGATACTAATGGGGAGTGATTGTTCTGCCTTTGTGGGAGAAAGCACACACAGCAGAGCTGTCAGTGGACTGTTTTAAGTATGGGTTGTGATTCAGAACCAGATGGTAATGCTTGTTGTGTGAAGTCTTAAAGATTGACTCCCAGTGTGCCGGAAGGAGCAATCTAATCATTCACACATATTTTTATGACCATTTAAATGTGGATTGCATAAATTTAGGTGGAATAAATGCGAAGAAAATTTCAAATACATTACCATGAGTAACTGTAACTTTCAGACTCTCCAACAGAGGTTGAGAGATATCTTGGTGCATGTACCTAGAGTAAACATAATAAAACCAATGAAAATGAACTTGAAAAACACTCCTCTTCTTCTCCCCAGCAACAGCAGTATTTAGCTGTACATGTTGAACAATGGTAAGAATAATTTCATGAGGTGACAGATGGAATGTTCCTCCATTCCACGAGGCAAAAATGGAACATTCCATCTGTCACTGAATTAAATTATTCTATCCATTACACGAATGTGAAACAATCATTATTTGTTTTATACAACACCTAAATCCTTAACACCTGATTGGTCAGAGCTGCAAAAAGTGTGACCGTGCACTGAAACTTCCATTTACTGTGGACTACATGTAGAACTTCTATTTTTGGGGGGGTCCGCTCATAAGTCCGACGCCTCATAGGTCCGACGCCTCATAAGTCCGACAAAATCGCATCCCCTAACCAAATAAAGGCCCATAAGTCCGATGCCTCATAGGTCTGACGCCTTATAAATCCGACGCCTCATAGGTCCGACGCCTCATAGCTCCGATGCCTCGTAAGTCCGACAAATTAAATGCCTCGTTTTTCCGTTGTCGGACTTTTGAGGCGTCGGACTTATGAGGCGTCGGACCTATGAGGCGTCGGACCTATGAGGCGGAATAAATAAATGTTACGCCTCACAAGTCCGACGCCTCATAAGTCCGAAATTTCGGACTTATGAGGCGTCGGACCTATGAGGCGTCGGACTTATGATACGGCCCCTTTTTTTGCCATGCGGCCACGCCGTGTGTTGGAACGAATAATTCAATGACATATGATCAACAACCTACCAATCAGATGATGAGGGATTATTCAGGCGTTGTTAATAATGAACAATTTCCACTGCATCACAAAAGAAATCGCAGATTTCAGTAATGCAATAATAAATTCATTGCTCATCCCTGTACAAAAGCTTCTGAATCAATTTCCTTTTTTTAAGTACAGTCGACTCTCGTTAATACGAGGTCCTTGGGACTTCTGACAATACCTTGTATTATCCGACACCTCGTCATAAGCGACGAGCATTTTTCGCGCACTCGCCGACATGCATCATGGATCGTTTATGTAGCTATTAAATGCACAGTCCACATGCTCTTGTTGAAATTGTAATGAATTTGCCTTAAAACAGTTAAATCATGTTCTCCATGAAATTATGATGTATAAGAAATGAAGTCACATCAGTATGTAACATTAATAAATACCTTGGAGAGTTGATGGTTTCTGATTGGTCGAGACTCGATCACGTGGCCGGGCATTAACGGTGATATAAAGACCGGCTTCAAAGAACAAACGAATAAATGGCCCCTGAACCAGCATTGATCCAGCCCCATGGAAGGCAATGATTGGCCAAATTTACAACAGTCATATGGCAGATTGTAACAATACAGCACTGCACATGCGCTCAACCACCTTCGCATGAGACTGACGCGCGCATACGAAACACAGTTGCTATGGGTGCGCGCGCGTAAGGAAGTGTTGAAACGACATCGTACAGCGGCAGTGCACTATACTGAGGATGTTACGACGAAAGCGTAGATCTACGATTTATTTTCTGTAAATACTTCGCCCATCGACATATTTACCTTTCCTAAACCAAGCATCTTTGTAATTCTGGACACAAGGAATGTGTTTAAATGAAATTTCAGCTTCCTCCATAAGGTAAAAATATGAAAACATTGTTGTAATTTGTTTGGCTACGGCAGCAGAAGTCGTACGCGTACGCAATGAAGACGTTGCAATTGTCCAGCGCAGCCTGGGCCCGGCTGTGGTGTATATAACAACGCTTATTGAAGAGACAGGGTACCACGCATAAGCTAAAATATGGCCTATGAACATGAACATAATAAAAGTCTGGAAATATCGCCGGAAAAAAGTCACAAAATTGGAGCATTTTAACTGTTTATTTCGTTAAAAAGGTATTTATTAATAGGAATAACAATGTGAGGAGCCGGTCTTCACTGCGTGATCATGACCGGGTTTGGGGGTGACCGCTGTTAATGGACCGAGACTTGTATAGTAATTGAGAAGAACAAAGAAAAAACAATAAACTGACTTTCAACCCAACTACGGGGCACGCGGTATCGTCGCCACACACGTACCGTCACCACCCACGATGTCACCTACCTGTCATGATGGCGAAGGCACGCACCAAAGTACATTAACATTTTTAGTTGGTGACCAACAGAAGAGTTGCATTGAGTGTGCACTTAAAGATGGGGATACCAGCGATCTATTTTCAATTTGGACAGTAGAGGGCGTACGTTGGTCTGAGTTTAATTGTTAATGCCCTGGTTACGTTAACTAATTTTAGCGAGAAATGCGGTTGACTTTTGTTAAACAATAAATTAGGATTTAGAGTATGGGTGGGAGAATAATTCATTTTAAAAAAAAAATGGGGATTTAACATATCTCAAGTCAAGTGGGGCGACTTTCTTATATTTGAACTTTCCAAAAAAATTAATAACAGCGTATTTTAAATTCTTTTGGGGATACGTTTTGGGGGAGGGTATTTTGATACTTTTTAGGGATTTGTTGTTTTTTTAACTTATTTTTTTATTTTATTTTTTAACAAAAATTATCTGAAGTTTTGAGAGGGTACATGTATTTTAATATTTTTCGGACTTTTTTTTCTAAAATTGATTCATCCACTTTTGGTAAGTGCATCTTTTTTTTTTTGAGGGAGGGGTAGGATTTTATTTTTTTCCAGGGATTTTTTTTTTCAAGCACAGTAAACATGGTTGGCCTACCGCGATTGTGCGGCCCGCTCTTGCGTTCGGGCAGGACCGGACGCAAAAGACACCATTTACTTGAAGATTCCCCTCTGATGGCACGGGACAAACGCCCTTCTTCAGCCTTCTTCGTTTGGGCGGCACCATAAAGAAAACCCGTGATCGCGCAGGAATTGCAAACGCCTATTGTTTGCCTTGTTCATTTGGGCGAGCGGCATGAGAGCCATCGTAAAGAATCCCTCTAGGCTGATATAGCCCTGGAACCGCAAACGCCTATTGTCTGCTTTTAGCCCCCTCATGCAGCACGTGAAAACACAAACAATTGTGTGCTAGTGGTATAAAAATTGCAGCGCTGAAGTTGGCAAGCATCATCACGGTGCCAATTAAAACTGAATAGGTTCGTTGATTGACAAGTTGTTTTCCCAAATGCACGTGAAAATAGACATAGACGCAAAAATTGCTCATTTTAACCGTCATCTCGTATCACCCAAGCTCGTATTAAGCAATTTTTCCCCCATAGTAATAATATGCACACTTCGGTCGGGACTGACGAAATATGCTCGTCTTAACCGAAATCTCGTCTAAATCGTGCTCGTATAAACAAGAGTCGATTGTAAAACAATAAACTTCATGTGTCGTATTTTGAACGTGTTAAAGGAGATAGGCCATTATTATGGTGTGCATAACTCTGCTGATTTTAAACTTACAAGGACAGAGATAATACTAGGGCCTTCACACAACATCTTCAATACCCTGTTCTTATGTTGACCCCTTATGGCAACAGTGTTAATTCACTTTACCAAGAGTACTATGCAGATTACAACTTGCAAAACAAAATCACAATTGTCATAATAAAATGTAAGTGCCATTTTTGAACTTCAATTTCTGGGGTTCTGTTAGTGTGCTGCTTGAAGTACATGTATGTATGTGTATCAATTGGAAAACCTTACCATCTCAAAAATTCATCCAGTAAGTTGTTCAGTTTACTTTTAAGAACAGCATCTCTTTCTGTGGAAATTGTACCAAGCAGCGGGCCTAAATTACCCTTCTTTGCTTCAGACCAGCTGAATCGTCTCTCAAACAGATAGCATGTAAATCTGGGGACCAAAAAAAACACAAAGTTAAAAAATATAATAATAATAATGTGGGGAAATGGATTATGAATATACATGTAGTACCTTTAAACTGAGATCTAAACTGCTGCTTTAAGGCGAATTGTTTACAGCGCGCACATCACCTCGGGTGCGGTAGTCGCCTTCCGCCAAACAAGAACTAGTTCCGGATCATCCTATGTTTGTAACCCTTATTTCATGTATAATTCATCTTTTGGTGATAACCCTATGTGAATTGGGTTAAGACAACAATTTTGTTAGAAGACTTAGTTGAAATCAAGGGATAATGCAGATTTACTGGCATGGAAACGGCCCATAGATACATAAGTTGTTAAGTAATACGGCCTCTTTCGGCGTCCCTAGAATGGCGTGAGGAAAAGGGCTCACGGTGAGAGACAATTTTATTGAATTTCTGCTTATATTTAATGGTTTTCAACACTCCTTGTGTTTGAAGGATAGCATCATATTGAACTGATATCATAGGTGTGGTTTTGGAAGGGTGAAGCCCAGGGGTTAGTTCAGAAAACAGCTGTAATTCTGCGCTCATGTCAGCCGTCCATGCGATCTATTTGTAGCTGTCATCAGTGCGTAGCGTGTACATGTACATTTCTATACGTGGGCTCGCGTTGTGTGCGCGCGTCTGTACGTACAATTTACATGAACTTGTAAACAAGGGTTGTCATTTTCACCTAGTCTGTGTGGCCAGTGCGTATGGCCCTATAAATGTTTTACTGTTTTTAAGCATCAAACATTGTGTTTTGGGGCATTCGCGCAGCATTTGCATGTAGTTTACTGATTGTTTTATCAATTGAACTGCAAGATTATTCAAGCACTTATGGTATTTCATGTATTTGTTTAATTGTAATTCCTGTGATTGGATTGTTTCCTTAGACCGCTAGCTCAGAGACATTCCTCCATGATCACATACATGTAGTACAGCCAGGGTCCTGTTTTACTGAAGGCTCAAGCCTAGTGTTGGGTGAGCATCTCATGCTTATCTTAATTAAACAATTGAACAGAGAGACTTTGGACATTTATTCTGACAAGGTTTATAATTTATTCTTTATTATTTTACAATTGTGTGTGAAATCAAGACTTATAATTAAATAATTTCTTGTAATTAATATGCGTGTAATGAAACAATAAAGTTTATAAATGTCATTTCAGGGGTTTTCTTTTCGTAGTCAACAAACAATAAAACCGAGACAGCAAGTTACAACCAAGAGTTGGCGTGTTATATTTTTTGGACAAGGCCTACTGCTCCCTGACCCGGGATTCACATCCCACACCGTTGATTCAGCGCAAGCTGACAACACCAAGTTGTCCCCCATCATGGGATTTACTACAATAATTCCAATACAGTTTTCTGTCCAATTACAGTTATACCTAGAAATTGAAGGACGTACATGTACAATTACAAATGCTCTATTCACTATGTTTAAAACCTTCAAGTTTGACAATGTCAGTGAATTGTTTTGTACGCTTATTTTGAAAGTTTCCTTTCCACAAAAGTTTACATAAAATATAATTATACTGCACACTTCAACACTGTGCATACTTTAAAAATGTTCCATCTCTGCTTTTCACAAGGACAAATGTCACTGTACATGCAGACACATCTCATGAACAGTGACCCATACATGTACTGGCCAATTTAAAGTTGCATTCCAACCAAAATACATTGCACTCCATTCTTCCCTTTTACTTGGCAGTCTGAGACCCTCTGGGTAAAAAAAGGTTGCTTTGTTTTGGGCACAAACAGATCTGCTTTGCTAGCAAACTTGCTCCAGGTCAGTACATTATCGATACTGATTGCGGGGCAGGAACCAGCCTACACTGCGAGAACGGAAATATTGTTTGGCAGCCAATAACTCGAAATTGTCAAGTAATAATTCAGGAATTAAACATGGCCCAAGTTTTTCAATCGATGTCTTATTCAAAAGTAATCATTTTTGTATTGCTGGAAAACTAGCAATTTAGAAAAGAAATAGGCTTACATGTGTATATTTTTCGGGATGAAACTCACGGGAAATACATCGTTAAGCACGATTTCATGTTCAAGTAAACTACATGTAGAGTCACTGCATAATCTGGGAGTGAATTAACCCTAACCTCACCTGAAGCTACAAAATACTACTGCTAGTAAACTGTAGTATACTTCAGCATCTAAGCGGGCACATCTTTCATAGTATTTTCTAGCACTTGGTGCCTGCATATATACAATTTTTGTAGTACTTGTTGTATGTGGTACTTTACCACAGTTGTAACAAGTCACTGATTTTTGGGACTCGAGTCAAGTCGAGTCATTTTAAAGAAGTGACTCGAGTCGAGTCGAGTCGAGTCATTAGGTCAAGAAGGTTGAGTCAAGTGAAGTTGAGTCACAGTGTGTAGTCAAGTCGAGTGAAGTCAAATATTTACCCGGTAGTTTGAGTCAATTTGAGTCAATTTGAGTCAAGAATATATTCATATTACAAATAAAGACAAGAGAAAAGGTCATTTGTATCTTATAGGCCATCTGGTTTGGATTCAGGTCTACTTCTTTTTGCCAATCACTGACAACATCAAAACCAAATTACAAAAGTGCATGATCATTTAAAAATGGGCATGCATAGGAGGGCATAAATTAAGATGGCATTCGAATCCAAGAGCTTAATAAGACCAAACAAAACTAGACTTGCTTATGTTTGCGTGTATGTGACATGTAAAGTTTCAAGTGTAAGTTAAAACCTGGAAGGATCTGTAATCTTTTTATAATAAATGGAGGCATATAATTCTCATAGGGCTTTGAATTATGACGTCACATGTCACCTGATGACGTCATGATTTCGTGACATAATTTTCATCTATAAGACATCTCGGTTTAGGTATACAACAAGTTACAACCCAATTGGACGTATCTGCAGATATAGGCCTTAAGAAAAATTATGTGACATCAAATGACATACATGTATGATGACGTCATCAAGACGTCACGCCAACTTTCATCTTTAACACATCAGGGCTTACAGGGTGAGTTAAAAAAAGCGGAACCCAAACCCCATAAAATATATTTCATATTTAAAAAAACATGTAGCACCAAAATAACAATGACTGGAAAGCCAATTTCATATGCTACTTTTAGAGAAAAAAAATACTAAAATTGCTCAATCCGTTTCAAAGAATATCACCATTTAAACACAATGACCCTAAAACCTGTCACGTCCAACAAAGCAATTCATCGTGTGTTTTGACTGTGTGGAACAACAAAGAATATGACACAGAATACTTGTTTCAACAACTGTCACCAACTGTAGTACACAATATCTTTATTTACAACCCTGGTTAGGCAAACTATGTAATTTATAAAATCTAGTTTTATTAAAGGACGGGCCTTCAAAGGGATTCTGTTGAATATTTTTAACGCTTAAACTAATATTTTATTGCTGGTGATGTTTGAAGACAATTGCGACGACGATTCTTGAAATAGAAATCACCCTTCACTGAAAACTGATGAAATAAGCTTTAATTTGTGTTTCAAATACCTTGGAGAGTTGTGAGTATTTTTCCGATATTTGGATGTGGAAGCATTTACCACTTGGGTCTATGGCAGTTTATTTACTGGTTTGCAACCTTATGGTCAAATCCATGCATATCGATCTGTTGTTCCGCAGTGGTAAATACGAGTGAGGATTTAAGTGTTCACTTAAGTACACCCATTTTATAAGTACCGTAATCATGCTGTAACAATTGTAATGTTATCAAATATTTTTACCTTCCACCTTGAATTAGTAGATTTACAACATTTCCAATCTCTGGAGATAGATGTAAGAACAAAGAAATACATTTTTTAAACCAACCTTTCTAGATCAGACTGACAGGACAGCACTCCATCAGGGGTACATGCAGGAAAGGGATTCAATGGATCATCATCCCCCAAACTGTGAGCAGCTAAAGACAGCCACTGGTGTTCAATGTCATCTTCCCCAAATACATCATCTTTTGGACTTAAGGTTTTCTTCAGTTGATCCAGGGCATTAACTTCTTCAGCACAGGAAGTTGCTTGTCGAAGGATCTCAAGCACTTTCATCCTTCTATTTATTCAGCTTCTAAGCATCTCTGAAAAAAAAATGAAAATTTGTGAAAGATTTAAGGTCAGAGAGTCCTGAAACTTGGTGGGTATGAAAAGAATGTCCTTTGCTAAATAGGCCAACGTCCTAGGTAACATCTAAACAGGTGACATGCATTATTTGTTATACTTTTCCCCAAAGACACTGCATACATACGATATTTCTCTTCTGGACTTTGAAATAATTTGACTTTAGCCAATGTTTGCACAAATATCCTGTACATAGGAATGTACCCAAGAGAAGCTGTGTTGACATCATCATCATCATCATCGCCAACAGTCACATGAAATTAACTTAAAGATACAAATCTATAAATTAAAAATCCACTGGGGCTCGGCCACGGTACATGTATGGACAATATGTAGCTAATGATAAATGGGTAATTCCAGGTTTCTGACAAAAAGAAAGGGTACCGTCTTTGACAGAGCCAATTAACTATGACGTCAAATTCATGATTCTGTGAGAGGATCACTGAGCTCTTAAAAGCTGTCACAGGCATTACATGTTCACTAGAATTGCCTAAATTTAAAGCTACTTTTGGGTGATGTTCTTGATTTAAATAAAGTCATGATGATTTAATATTTTGTATGTAATTTGGATTTTGCAATATCGTACACACAGCAATATCCTACTGCACATCTCTTTCAGAACCATTTCCTTTGCAATTTATTTCTAGACACGACAATAATTTTCTTAAAACCTGGATTAAAATAGTTGCTGAACTTTGTCCAGTCCATGAATGATATATGAAACCAGAAGTGTTTACTATTTTGGTTGAAACAGAGGAGACCTTGGATACCAACACGTCAACAAATACGACTCTCTTTTCATTGCATTCATTTCGAGATATTTGGATCATGTCCCAAACCCCACAATACCATCAAGATTGTATGGTGGTGGAAGCATACCCGACCATGCTGGTAAACAATGTGTGCTACTTAATGCAAAGTACCTGCATTGACATGTGTTTACACTCCACAGTCATTTTGAGTGTGCTTCAGTGTGAGTATTGAGTAGACAAAAACAGACCTCCAAAAATTATCTGGAAAAACATGAGTTGTCATTATTTTATTATTCATCTATTCATCATTTGGTGTATAATAGGTCTGTACTTCAAACTGTATTAGTTCTATTTCAATATTGAATATATTATAAACCTTTTCGTATCTGGAAACAAATGTCGGTTTTGCTATTGTGAGTTTTTGATACATTTTTGCTTTGTCATTGTACTTCATTTGTTGGCCGGAAAAAAATAATCCTAGCATTCTTGTCCGCAAGAAGAATGGCAATATTCGTATGTGTATCGACTACAGGAAACTCAACAGCCGTACAATATGTGATCAGTATTGTATCTATAAGATTGAGGACATACTACATGCCATAAATGGAGCACAGTGGTTTTCCTGCTTGGATTTGAAGTCAGGCTACTACCAGATTGAAGTTGCCGATGAAGACAAACACGAGACGGCGTTCTGGTGCCCTCTCGGCTTCTATGAGTTCAACCGCATGCCCCAAGGTGTAACAAACGCTCCAGCTATTTCAATCGGACAGAAGTCTTTGTTTATCTTGATGACATTGTCGTTTTCGGCAAGACTGCAGAAGAACATGAAGAAAGACTTATCAAAGTTCTTGAGAGGCTCCGTCGGTTTTGTTTGAAACTTGGCCCAAAGAAGTGCAAGTTCTTCCAATCATCAGTGAAGTGTCTTGGGCACGTTGTCTCCGGTGATGCAGCCAAGACTTAGCCGGTTCCAACCACATCGAAGGAGCTTAAATCATTCCTTGGCTGGGCAGGCTACTATCGGAGGTTCGTTGAAGGATTTTCTTCCATTGCAAAGTCACTGAATGAGCTTACTGTTGGTTGCGACTTCACTAAGAAGAGGTTTAGCCAGAAGAAGACCAACCAAGCCAAACTTCGAAAACCCAACAAGCCATTTGGTGAACTGTGGTCTGAAGAGTGCCAATGGGCTCCGTGCGCCAATAAAGAGGGCGCCCTTTTACCTAGCAACGACATCCCATGGGCAGGACATTTAGCTGGTTGACGCGCACCGTTCCTTGTTTGTGAAGCACGTACACCAGAGGATTTGTACTATGTACACGCAGTGGTATGGCTGCGCATCGTGGCAAAATTGCAGTCAGGCAAGATAGCGTCGGTCGGTCACCCCCAACTGTACTTTCTTTGCCGGTGAGGGGGTACTTGTGAACGGAGCGGATAGTCCTTCCAAACCATTATCGAGAAACTTACTTTTGTCGACAACAAGAAACCATTTGTAATACACACAGATGCCAGTGGAACCCGGTTGGGAGCAGCCCTATATCAAGAAGATGATGGAGGACAATTCAGAGTGATTGCTTATGCAAGGCAAGGATTCTAGAGTGAATTGAACTACCCATAGTCCGTGGGACGAGAGGCCAAAAACGCTTTAGTTTTTGAGATAGGCGATCTGGTCTGCAAAATTTTTGAAAACTTCCCAGACATGTAGATTATGATGTAAATGTACCATATAAAAAACAAATTTTGTGCACCGATCCACAGTTTGTTTGGGAATGAGAAAATCTGGGATAAAAACTCCGAAAATTCTGCATGAGAAAAAAAGTAAGAAACAGCGCCCTCTACTGACAGTCAGAAACCTTTTCGCACGCAATGATTCGCTCGTACCCCCCGCCACAAACAGGATGAAACGCAATGAGTGCTTGCCAGATGATACTTCTTTCAAGTTTCATATTACATGCATATTCTAGATTTTTGTTATTATTAATATTATTCATCAGGATGCAAAACCCTTTTCATTACAGTTTGTCCAAATTCAAATGAAGTTTTAAGATTTTAAGATTACCTGATTTTTTTTGCTTCAAATGTCGGCTGATGACTGCAAATGGTGCCCGACTAAAGTTAGTGCAAATATATGGGAGTCCAGAGAGGCCACATAAAGCTTATTCTCGACCATAACCCAATCTAAAAACACGTTAAAATTGTGCAGCAGCATGATTCCAGTCAAACCAGTGAGTTTGGCGGTTTTGAGACATCATCTTTCATTGGAAAAAAAACTTTTTCATTTTGCCGACGCGCATGGCTACGGCGACGGGCGCGCATACCAGAAACCGGAGACTTTTTTTTTTTGGCCTGATGGGTCATTTTTTAAACAGACTCCCCCCCCCCCCCTTCAATAGCAGTGACACAGAATTTGAGTAAGGGATTATATACATGTATCAGATCAAAGCGTCTTATTACAAAACCACTCAAAAATGACATCTCAAGTTCTCATACATGTACTTAATTTAATTTTTGATTACAGTATTAAAAAAAAAATGACTCAAACAAATAAAGGTCTTAATAATATACCAAACGGTATTTGCATTTATTGCAAGACGGTCTTGCAATAATAGTGGTGTGGCATAGCCACAATATGTTTAAGTTTTGTGCAAATTGTGATAAAAGCATGAAACTTCGCATGTTGGTTCTTCATGCCATGCCCAAATTTTTCAGATATGGACAGTCAGTTGCCGTGTCACGCGTAGCTGCTCTATTTTCTCGTCCACACAACTGACAGCAACGCCAGGCCAGCGAATGATGGCCGTAAAAAGGGCTTCAGAAAATTCGCAATTTTCATGGCAAACCACAACCGATTCAAACAAACAAAGATGTTTTAGGTAGTTAAAGACCTTCTTCATACATCCATCAAGGTATTTTTTTTCTCAAAAAAAGGATTTCAATGCATTTTGAAGATATTATTTCACGGACAAATCGACTAAAAATTAGGTCATGAAATTTTCAGGTTTTTTTTCGAGAACGACGAAAGTCTCCCAAATGTTGAGGTAATCAAAGGAAAGAGTGAACCTTCATCTGCAAAAAAATCTCGCAAAAAGAGCGAGGAACCCAAACGCGGTGTGATCTTGTGACCCATACGCCCACTGATTGGTCGAGCTCCGGTATGGCCTGTTTAATATTCATAAGTCATTCATTGCACGTTAGCAACTGCTATTCACAATGTTTTCTATGGAACGCCAAATGTACCAATTTATGATGTGACTGGATAAACGTTATGCGATGATGTGGTCAACATATTATGCGGTGTTGTCAATCCATTAAGTGATGTTGTCAATCTATTATGTGGTGTCGACAATCCTTTATGTGACGTTGTCAGTTTATTATGTGATGTTGTCGATCCATTATGTGATGTAGTCAATCTATTATGTGATGTAGTCAATCCATTATGTGATGTACTGGTAGTCAATCCATTGTGATGTCGTCAATCCATTAAGTGATGCCGTCAATCTATTATGTGATGTAGTCAATCTATTATGTGATGTTGTCAATCTATTATGTGGTGTCGTCAATCCATTATGTGATGTTGTCAGTTTATTATGTGATGTTGTCGATCCATTATGTGATGTAGTCAATCTATTATGTGATGTAGTCAGTCTATTATGTGGTGTCGTCAATCCATTATGTGATGTAGTCAATCCATTATGTGATGTAGTCAGTCCATTATGTGATGTCGTCAATCTCTTATGTGATGTCGTCAATCCATTATGTGATGTCGTCAATCTATTATGCGATGTAGTCAATCCATTATGTGGTGTCGTCAAACTATTATGTGTTGTTGTCAGTCTATTATGTGATGTTGTCGATCCATTATGTGATGCCGTCAATCTATTATGTGATGTAAATTGAAATTCGTACGGCCATGCATTATTCGTGTACACTTCAGCAAACACAATGTGCCTCGTGCATTATCCCGCCCAAACACATTATTTCTCGATGTTCAGGTCCCGTATTGTCAAAATAAACACCAAATCTGTAATCTGTAGGGTTTATTTTATAAGTTGTAAACAGGACAAGTTTTAATAATAATAATAATAATAATACTGAACATTTATATAGCGCTCTAACTGTCATAGAAAGTACCACAGCGCTTTACACAAAAATTGACGAAAATCCCCCCAAAAAACACCAGAAAACAGAACAAGAAATAAACCACATTCAAAATACATGAGTAAGTAATAACAAATCAATTAAACAGATCAGTTAAACAGATGGGTTTTCAGGGATTTTTTTAATGTTGCTAGTGAGCTAGAGTGGCGGATGATATAGGGTAAATTGTTCCAGAGTTTAGGGGCAGCAGCGTGGAAGCTTTTCTCTCCAGTGGAAGTGCGAGTTTTTGGTACACGGAGTAATCTGGTGTCAGTAGATGATCGGAGGCTTCTGGTCGGCTTGTAAAGCTGAATGAGTTCGGTTAAGTATGAAGGTGCAGAGTCAGTGTTAAGACATTGGTAAACGAGGGTCAGAAGTTTGAAGTTGATTCGGTTGGGGATTGTCAGCCAGTGAAGATCGTGGAGGATAGGAGTGACGTTGTCATATTTTCCAGCCTGATAAATCAGTTTAGCAGCACGATTTTGGAGCCGTTGAAGGCGTTTGCAGTCAGTAGATGTTATACCGAACAGGAGTGAGTTTGCATAGTCCAGTCGAGATGTTACGAGGGCTCTAATGGCAGCATGACAAGATGGTTTGTCAATGTACATTCTGATCCGTGATAGGTTGCGCAGATTCATGTTTACAGATTGACAAATGGCACTGACTTGGTTGGACATCTGCATGGTTGGGTCGAATACCACTCCAAGATTTCTGATCTTTGAGGAAGCCTGGATGGTATCAGCGCCTACTTGGAGGGAAAGATCAGATAACGAATTGAGAATTCTGGTGTTGGCACAGACAAAGAATTCAGTTTTGGATTCGTTTAGTTGAAGCATGTTCCTTATCATCCAGTGCTTTATGTCCATAATGCATTGTGATAATGTAGACAGAGCTTGGTTGATTTCACTTGGATTGTTGGGATTGAATTGGATGTACAGTTGCGTGTCGTCAGCATAGAAGTGGTAACGGACATGCTGAAAACGCTGGATAACGGTAGCGAGAGGATGAGTAAATAGGGAAAACAGCTGAGGTCCGACAACAGAGCCTTGTGGTAGTCCAAACTCCAGTAGTTGTGGGTCAGATAGCTCACTAGCAACCTTTACTCTATTAGTGCGACCAACAAGGTAAGAATGGAACCACTGTTGAACATGATCTGTAATCCCAAATACATTGGATAATCTATCTAAGAGAGTAGCATAATCGATAGTATCGAAAGCCGCCGACAGATCCAGCAACACCACAAAGACGGCCTGTCGATCATCAAGGGCACGCAGTATGTCGCTCTTGATTCTCAACAGTGCCGTCTCCGTGCTGTGGCCAGACCTGTATGCGGACTGAAACTTCTGATCCATCAAATTTGTACACAGATGAGTATTAATACGACTAAGAGCAACTTTTTCAATTAGTTTAGATAGAAAAGCCACATTAGAAACGGGTCTATAGTTCTTGAGGTTATTCACATCCAGCCTAGGCTTCTTCAGAATTGGCGTAGCAATGGCTTCCTGAAGGATTGATGGGAAAGAACCTGTGGACAGTGTACTATTCACAATGGAAACCAGTGCAGAGAGGAGGGTGTTGGTGTTCTCTTTCACCATCCATGTGGGGAGAGGGTCCAGTCCACATGACTTGTTAGGTGATTTATTAACAAGTCCAAGGACCTCATCATCATCAGCTAGGGTGAAGTCGGAGAGTTCAGGTACGTGTGCCGGGGAATCATCATGGACCTCATCATCAGTTTCAGAGGTTTGGGTGAGCAGACACTCAATGTTAGATCTTATTTTCACAATTTTGTCCTTGAAGAAAGTGGAGAACCGGTTGCTCAGTGACTTCAAGGGTCGGCCAGATGGAAGAGAAGTGGCCCCTTTGTTTAACAATGAGTTGATTGTTTTAAACGCAGTTTTTGTGTTGGCGGATAAAAGCTGGGCCTTGAAGTATGTTGATTTTTCACGACGAATGAGCTTAGTTAATTCATGGACCTGATCCATGTATTTTTGTCGGTCATCAGGATGTTTAGTTTTGTGCCATCTTCTTTCAAGGTTTCTACGGTTGCGTCTGGCGAGGTGGATTTCCTTCGTGTACCATGGTTGGTGGGATTTGAACCTTCGCGTTCTTATTTTGATGGGACAATGAGCGTCCAGGACACTTAGGACCGCATTGTTGTAAAACACAACTTGGTCATTGGGACTACTGTCATATGGAAACGACTCGAGAGATCGTGCAAGATCATCAGTGAAAGTATCAGTGTCGATGGAACGGTAGTTTCTTGTTTTCAATTGCACCACCTGTTGGTTGGGTTTGGCGTGATTAATGACGCATTTAATCACATGGTGATCAGAGTATAGCTTTTTAAGATAAAAGATGATGATTTTAAAGATAGGATCCGACTTGGGACTTTTGACGAAATACGCGAACCTTCATTTTTAGTGAACACATGCATCTTAAATTAACCCTAAAAATAACTTTATTTCTCGATTTTAAGATCCCGTAATTTCAAAATGGACCCCAAATTCGTAATCTGTAGGGTTTATTTTACAACTTGCAGACTAGACAGGACTAGTTTTTTCAAATGACAGATGATGATTTTAAAGATAGGATCCGACTTCGGTCTACCTCTTGCCTTGACACGGTCGCCGCTAATGGCCCTGCATATCATTAGCTCATTTTTTATGAACGAAATAGCGCCCTCATGCACATGTCTGTGATAAATTTAAGAAAACGGACCCTCGCAAGTGACGTGACCACCATTATTCTGCGGCTTAAACCACAGTACAAGGTCTTGACATCCAAAATTAGGGTCAGTATGAGCATATTGTTTTAATTGCTCCATCATATGAGCATCGCGAGTCTTTTCTGTACTTTTTACATGTCTGTAAATAGAGGGTCCGACTAGGTCCGACAGGGTCTGACTTTCACCCAGACCCATTATGTGATGTCGTCAATCCATTATGTGATGTAGTCAAAGTATTATGTGATGTAGTCAATTTATTATGTGATGTCGTCAATCTATTTGGGAATCTTTCCATTCTTTCCACCTAGGCCTAATAATATGATTATGCACAATTGCAGAATACCCCGCCACTCGATCTATGCACCTCGTAGCCGGCTACAGAGTCACGGTTGATTGCCCTCAATAAACCTTCTCAGCACTACATCATGTATAGTCGGACTCCCTATTATCGCGGCATCCATATTATCGCGGCATGGGAAATTTCTCTTTTTGTGTTGTCAAAACTCCTTCAAGTGGCGATTTGTATCCAGTTCACCAGTCATCAAGGACTTTTTACCGAGTTGTATAAAAAGGACGATTAAAAAATGTTGTGTCTTTCGGGACTTTTAACAATTTTTAATAAATATAAACGTTTTCCAAAACTTGCAAATTTTCCCTCACCGTGTCTGCTAAAAGGTACCGTCTATATTTTAACATAAACCTTTAGTAGTGCTCTGTCCATAAAAGTTCCATTGTCTGGTTCCCATTCTTCAGCTGCAAATGTAAAATGAAGTCAAAGGACGATATTTGCACCGCGAAATCGTAAAAACTTTTACGGAACCAAAATATAAAGCACAGCGCATTAACAAAAATAAAACGGCACACCGTGTAAAGTGAATGGCACCCCAATCGCCAATCAGTAGACTTGCCTCAGTGATTTTTGTTCTCCTTTCCGGGGAAGGGCAGGGTCTTAAGAAATCATCCTGCAGACATAGTCTTTAATCAACTTGAACATTACAGGGAAAATATCAGACTTTATACAACACCTGAATAAATCCCCGTCATCTGATTGGTGGATCGTTGATCACATGTCATTGAATTATTCGTACCAACGCACGGCGCACGCGTGGCACGCAGCGCACAGTGCAATGGAAGTTCTATTGCACTGTGAATAGAACTTCCATTGCACTGTGTCACTGCTGCTGGTGGTTGCGCTGTTTTAAGATAAATTGGATATGATTGTTCTCAACCTGTTGAACAGTTTGCATTAATATAAATATGATGAACTTGTCGAACTTTTAAAACAGTTTTTAACCAGAATAATAAAAGTCAACCAATCAGATGACAAGGATTTATTCAGGTGTTATACGGTATAAAACAAATAATGAATTTTTCACGTTCGTGCAATGGAAAGAATAATTTCATTCGGTGACAAATGAAATGTTCCATTCCACTCGGCTTTGCCTCGTGGAATGGAACATTTTTTCGGTCACCTCATGAAATTATTCGTACCATTGCACTCACAAACATTCATTATTTGTATATTATTCAGGGGATGTTTTGGTCAAATATTAACTATGAATAAAAAAGTTGAGATCATTATAAAAAAAAAACACTTCCCGCATACCGCGATAATAGGGAGTCCACTTAGCTCCGGTCACACACTCCGAGCATGTTTATTTTCACAGGCATCGTACACGGAACAAACCATACCACCGTCGTATTTGTTTATATCAATTTGAAAAGGAAGAGCTATACTACACAAAAGACAGGACAATTCGAGGTTAGTGGGCAGTCTCTATTCCAAACGAGAAACGTGATAAGTACCGCGATAATACGGCGACCCATCCTACTATGCGTGCGTCATGTTTTTGTACATGGTGGAACTTAGTTAGTGTGGCCTGGCTTTATTTACGGAGGTAGTCCAGTAAATTGGCCACATTTATGCCATCATGATCTGATCATCATTATGGGGCTAATTCATTTGTTGCTTCGTTCTTGAAATTGTTTCTTTTCCAGTGATTCCAACCTCGAGTCGTAGCCAGAGAAGTTAGGGGTGTATTTTCGAGTGGCGGGGTATTCTGCAACTACTCCTATGATTAAAAAGTGGCGTCAAAATGGAACAACCAAGGGCATTTTTTTTAATAAGAAGAGAACTTACGTAAATGTATGTTTTTGAATCATCTGCAGTAGTCCTAGCACGTCACGCACACGACGCGTCGATGACAACACATAGAGCGGACGCACCGATCCATTTAGATCAAGTGCGCCCTCTATACAGTTGATCTTGAAAAAGCGCCAGCATAAAGCCAGTAACCTGTCAAAGACCTGTTTTGGTATTTGAACATTTTGTGACGAATGTATATCCTATTTTCAAAAACTTGGTGTCAAAATAACCGCAAGACATCAGAACAACTGTCAGAGAAACTTGGCAGAATCTAATAAATGCATTGCGACGATAGGAGCCAAAATGTACACGGAGGGGGGTTGCAGCCCCGCCCCCTCCGCGTTGTTCACGCCGCTCTTAAGTTAATTAGTCTGACCAAAAGGAACTCTTAAGTTATAGTTTCATGTTCCACAAGTGCCAAACCATTAATAAAAATGGTTAAATTTTCCCAATTTAAATTTTGTAGTACATTTGCACAGTTTCAATTCGATCTGCTAGTCGGCACTGTCATGCACGCTTTCATGTGCATGTACTTTTCAATGAGAAAAGTAAACATTCAGGCATACCCGTGCTGGGAAATGGACATTTCGTGTCGAAGTTACGGCTTATTTTCATAAACTTGGTGTCAAAATAACCGCAAGACATCAGAACACAAAGAAAATTGGCAGGATTTACCAAATGCCTTGCGACGATAGGAGCCAAAATGTGCATGGTGGGGGTGAGGCCCCGCCCCCTCCGCGCTTTTCCCGCCGCTCTTAAGGTAATTAATCTGAGCTAGAACTACTCTTAAGTTATATTTTTATATTCCATGAGTTTTAAGGCATCAACACAAACTGGTTTCATTTTCTCCTCTTCCGTTGCTTTGCAGCGGTATCAGCGAAAATGAAAAGGTGGGGTGACGGCCACGCCCACCTTCCTCGCTTTTCGGGCCGTTCTTAAGTTAATTAGTCTGATCTAACATCATTCTCAAGTTATATTTCCATAATCTACAAAATCCAAGCTATCAAATGATACTGGTTTCGCCTTTGTTCTCCAAATTTTGATTAAAAGTATAATTGGCCCCATTTGGCATGGCGCCAATGGGGCTTAGTCTGATCTAGCGAAACTTATGAATGGCCAATCTGTGATCAGGGTCGATGATACTATCCTTTAAGACAATCAGGGGATTTGCTGCTGAAATTTTGATTGAACACTATTCAGCTCTCCCTCACGCCATTACGGCTTTGCGCCACGCGCTCGCGTTACTTTTCATCAACCCCCCCCCCCACCCCCTCTCTTTTTTTAGTCTGGTTCCCAGACCAAAATATTCTGACTATTCCTGATGAGACTGGTTCCCAGACCACAAGATTCTGACTATTCCTGATGAATCTTAAGCAATTAGGCCAACCTCGTCCTCAGGGTGTCGAACAGTACGCGCCCATCACTACCTGCTATGGAAACGCGGTTGGAAATAAAGTAAGCACTGGGGACGAGGTTGCAATTAGGCAGCCTCCGTGGCTAAAAGTAAACATGACGACATTGATGGCCCTTTTTCAAAGCTCAGCTTCGTTTCCGATTTCGCTTTATCGCTTGTAGCTTTTAATGTTCTGATCAAATTTTTAGTAATATCATACAGTTATGATAATACAGTTTGATGTTTCTGTAAGAAAACATTGACTGATGTTGATCTGGATTCTTCAAAATTAGGCACCCAAATAGCACTGTTAGCAGGCGGAGCCGAATGAAGACCGAGTTTTGGAAAATCTCGGTAAGGCCAAAAAAAAAAGTCTCCGGTTTCTGGTATGGAGCTTGCCCCAAAAGTGGTGCGGCGACGCGGCTTTTTTTTTTTTTTTACCTGTTTTTTTTTTTTGGGGGGGGGGGGCTTCAAATGTCGGCTGATGACTGCATATGGTGCCCGACTAAACTTAGTGCAAATATATGGGAGTCCAGAGAGGCCACATAAATCTTATTCTCGATCATAACCCCTTCTAAAAACACGTTAGAATTCGTCACCGACACCACGAACTGACACCCTCTGCATCACATGTGTACAAAAAAAAATAAAAATTCAAAAATTTTTTTTGCACATATTAGCAGTTTGTATCATGAAGTTTAACATGACGAGGTTAAAATTGCTGAAATCATCTAAAATAAGCCAATTTTACTAATGAATTTTCAAGAAATTTGTCAATTCTGGTATTTTTGGTCACCACGAAGTGACACTGCACAGGGTGTCAGTTCGTGAAAACCAAAATGTACGTGTTTCCGGAGAGTGCGCGCATGCAATAGCGTTAGTGAGTGTCAGTTCGTGAAAACCAAAATTGACGCGTTTTGGGAGAGTGCGCGCACGCATGCGCAGTGTGTGCGCGCACTCTCCCAAAATTGGTCAATTTTGGGTTTCACGAACTGACACTCACTAACGCTATTGCATACGCGCACTCTCCGAAAACACGTAAATTTTGGTTTTCACGAACTGACACCCATCTTAATCTTTTAATTGCTAATGAACTAAGCAGATCTTTACAATATAACATTTATAAGTGAGTAGTGAAAGCATTTTCACGTTAAGTGATACTAAAACCTCTAAGATAGATGGAATATTTTACTGAGTAAATTCGTGTCAAACCTTTAAAAGCGTTTTTCTCCGATTTGTATTTCTGCAACGCTGACCACCGGGTGTCAGTTCGTGGTGTCGGTGACGAATTGTGCAGCAGCAGAATTCCAGTCAAACCAGTGAGTTTGGCGGTTTTGAAACATCATCTTGTATTGAAAAAAAAACTTTTTCATTTTGCCGACGCGCATGGCTACGGCGACGCGCGCGCATACCAGAAACCGGAGACTTTTTTTTTGTTGGCCTAACGGTCGTCAAATTCAAAATTGTACATGACGCAGCAAAAAGTTCGCTCATTCGATCCGAGTATATTTGATGCACAAAATCGTCGTTGAATTTCAAGTTTTCTAAATGAAAGCAATGAATATTAATTATCAACTCGTTAAAAATAAAATTAATAAGCAATTAGCAGTTAATTAAACCTATATTATATACTCGGAAATACTCGGGCGCTATCCGATTGTCGACGAAACGACTTCGGCAAACTTCGGAAATTTTCGGAAAAAGGAGGAATTCCTCCCGTTTTAGTCACGTGACGTAAATTGTAATACAATGTATTACCGGAGGCTACCGGACCTCAACCTCGTCCCCAGTGCTTACTTTATTTCCAACGTTGTTTCCAAGAGAGAGCAGGTAGTGGTGGGCGCGTACTGCTCGACACCATGGGGACGAGGTTGACCGGACCTAAGATTCATCAGGAATAGTCAGAATCTTTTGGTCTGGGAACCAGACTTCCCTCTTTTGGCCTTCAGCGTAGGCGCCACAACTTGCCTTCACCATTTGCTGCTTGTTACACTTCACGCCCCCTCCCGGATCCCCTTTTTGGACAATCCTGGTTCCGCCCCAGGTTGGGGTTTGTAAAGGCCGGTCGGACTTGGCCCCCCTGTTCCAAATTCCTGGCTACGCCTGTGCCCCGCGCTGCCAAAGGTCCGATATCGTTGGTGACTGGTCACTTTTTTTCATGCCCCAGGGTTGGGATTTTGGTCACAAAGGCAATCAGTAGTGCGCCCCACGTATCCGGGCCGTCGGGGCATTATGTTTGGGAATTGACACCGCTTAAATTTTGCCCGGGATTTTGTTACTTCAAAAGCGACAATCCCCTCGTCTTGGGTGGGGCAGCCTCGCCGGATGGGGTGGTGGGGTGAAGGAAACAATAATTCGATAGGCGTATATAAATTCTGACAAACCATTATAATCTCTACTAACATAACCTAAATACTACAAGTTGGAACGGAGGTCAAAGGTCGCGAGTACGGGAACATGTATTTTCAATTTGCTCCTGCCTTCATCCTTCATTTTGCATGTTTCTGGCATATCCAGAGGGGGGAGGGGGGGGGGGCCAGAGGGGGCACTTTGCCCCCCCCCCCCCGGCGGATTTTTGTGAAAATTTTTTCCCCACCAATTATTTCAATAAATAGTCAGAGTTCTGACATCACTTTTTGCAGTATGCATAATAATGCTCAGCTTGGTACCAGCCCCCCCCCCCCCCCGCTTTTTGATTTTTCGTAGGACAAGAAGTGTTCGGAGAACAAAAGCATGTCTACATTTCAGCACGGATGTGCGGTTGCCCCCCCCCCCCCCCCCCTGACATCCAAGCTGGATATGCTACTGATTTTTCATCATGGCTCCCGTCATCATTCAGCTAAATTCACAACAGCTTCATCTTCATTAATTCTGGATCCTTCCTGACCGAAAATATCGGTGTGTACACCCTTGTTTCTCTCCAACTTTTTGTCCCTCGAACTTCGCGGGAATTGCAACACACGCCGGTCATCTTGACTATTTTGTTTTGCCATTGTTGATATCGACGTACCAACCCGATTGGCATACCGATATTGAGTTCGAACCCCCCCCCCCTACTGGAATGTGAAGGTCAGTAGCCAGCGGGGTAGGTGGGGGGGGGGGGTATTTACCCCCCCCCCTTCAATATTTTGTAAAGACTGCCTTTTTTACGAAGTGCCCTTTTTTCGGAACAAGTGCCCTTTTCCAAAAAGAATTGGTGCCCTTTTTTGTGGCATCTGCCGTTTAGGCCAAAAAAAAAAAGTCTCCGGTTTCTGGTATGCGCGCGCGTCGCCGTAGCCATGCGCGTCGGCAAAATGAAAAAGTTTTTTTTTCAATACAAGATGATGTTTCAAAACCGCCAAACTCACTGGTTTGACTGGAATTCTGCTGCTGCACAATTCTAACGTGTTTTTTAGAAGGGGTTATGATCGAGAATAAGATTTATGTGGCCTCTCTGGACTCCCATATATTTGCACTAAGTTTAGTCGGGCACCATATGCAGTCATCAGCCGACATTTGAAGCCAAAAAAAAAAAAAAAAAACAGGTAAAAAAAAAAAAAAAAGCCGCGTCGCCGCACCACTTTTGGGGCAAGCTCCATACCAGAAACCGGAGACTTTTTTGGGGGGGCCTTAGGGTGCCTTTTTTTTTAGAATTTCGCACATGTTTCGCCCTGAAAAGCACCATATATTGGCCCTTTGTGTGCATAATTGTCG